CATAAACCGGCGATTAATAACGATGTCACGAGAGATGGAAGAAGAAGACAGTTACTAATCAACAAGTTCATGAGAAACGAAGCCATGACAGAGAAAGTTACGAATGAAAAATCAGAAATTGACAGACCCAGCAACTATTAACGAATGAAAAATCAGAAATTGACGGCTCCAGTTACTTATAACAAACAAAGACTTTTGTCTTGAATGGCCTTCCATAGTACGACCCTGATTATCAGTTTGGTTCGTGTTTGAACTCTTCAGACTGAATAGACTCACATTGCGGGGTTCATGGACCTTGGTGGATAGGTTCACTATGGGTGAACCTATCTATCCTAAGGGAGACACACCAGTCACCTCTCACTTCCATTTACCGAGACTCTCCAGTCGAAATCTCGACTACTTAATAATCAACTGACTCAGCACCAACCTGGACCTAACACAGTCTACAGCCAATAGGGCCTCCATTTAACTCCATTGGATTATCAGATTGCAAACTTTCCAATGGGATCAATGACAAATCTAAACTTGGACACCCATACTTCTTTTCTTTGTTGGACTCTATACATATATAAATAGATGAAAATAAGAGAACCCATCTTGAAATCTAGTATTGAGAAAAAGCATTATTCTGATACTCATAGTAAATTAAGGCCATTATCAACTATAATTTTCTGATAACTGAGATCTCACCATTACATATTTGATATCAAGTTTCACCAACAGTGGACACTATGGTGTTCATCAACCAATTTTTTTCTACTTGGGTCTTGGACTAAGTCAATAACTATAAGTCATTCATTTAGAAACATCAGAACAAAACTGTAGCCTCTATTACATCCACAAGCACAATTGTAATTGGACAGCAAAAAGGGGATGACAACAATATTACAATGTGCAATAAAAAAGAAAAGGCCCAAAAATCCATTTCACTAAGATAGGTACAAATTTCTTTAAATAATGCGAGTAATAAATTTTGCCTGTTTATCCACATTACAATGTGGGCAAATAAAATTGCTTGTGTTCAATTATGCCTTTTATCTATTTCAAAACACTGAAGGATAGAAAATATATTTGTAACAGCTTAGCCACTAAAGTCATGTGTATTTGAAATAGGATGTTAGGTACTTTTAATCCTAGAATGTATATCAACAAAAATATGCAGTAATCATTTATGAAACATCATCTGGATTGACATTCAAGAATTTTGCAATAGATGTTGTTTATTGCAAATTCATAAAGAAATACCATGCAAACGAAAGAAAGTATGAAATAATACAATGATAATGACATTGTAACATACCTCATTGCTTCTAGCTGTGAAACAGGTCAAACTGATCATTATGTAATTATGCTTTGTTGTACTTAGCTTAAGGCAGATTCTTTCTTATTTCTTAATATAACAAGATCATAGCCTACAGCATAAGGTCAGAACAATTTTTAACAATGTGTAATTAATGTAATCTGCAGTCCTCCAACACTTTCACAATATTCATATCTAGGTTTCCAAAGCCATTAACATCAAATAATACTTATTATCACAGTCAGATGAAATGAAAGGGGTGTAATTGCCCAAAAGTTTGTCAGCTAATAGAAAACCTTTTCTGGTTTCCTTGACACGTTTCAGAAAGATAGCTTGCCAGGCAAGGTAATATATGCCCACTGGCATCTTTGATTTTGAATAAAAATATGAAAGAGCAAGGGCAATAACTCATACTAAATAAAAATATTTAGCAGTACAGTAACAACCACCAGTATGAAATATTCAACCTTCAGTCATACACTTCTTTTGAACTCTTTAGCGCAATACTGAATAATATTGAGTATGAGTTATTAGCCTTGTTCTTGAAAACGTGTTCAATCTTCAGCGAAGGACTGAATAATAAAACCAAGTTTTGTCCAAATCCAGCAAGAATCATGCCTTTTAGCGTTTAAGAGTTAAATTTGAAAGAGTTTTCAAGAACAAGGGCAATTACTAAATATTTTACAATTCTTCTGATTTTTAATAGGGTTCATCCTTGGGTGATTACGAACATTCACACCAAGTTTCATCAATTGTGCCTTCAAGAGTGATCACGAGCTAAAAATTGAACCCGTTTTCAATAGCAAAGGGCAATAACTCATACAAATTATTTTTCGATTTTTCTGATTTTCAATAGGGTTTATCCTTGGGTGATAACAAA